ACCATAAAATATCTAGTAAACCATTCATTTTTCGATTATCTTACCTTCATACTTTTATGTACAAATTAATGAAAGGAATCAATTGGTGTAAAGAAAACATACAGTTGTTTTTAAGAAAAAATATGGAATTGTTAATTGCAAATTACATTAATGCCGCCGCGCGCCGACGCGCGAGTAATTAGCCGGTATAAAAAGGGCATACTCGGCAATCTAATCACCTTTTCCGATTCCAATTACGCAAGTGAAACGTCTCGCATCCAGATCGTTCCTAGCAAAAGCCGAATTTAAAACAGAGGTAGAGAGCACTCTTCCTCTATCGAGAACTCTCGATTATAAATCGGCAATCCATCTAGCCGCTTTTTTCCGACCGCAAAACGAACCCGAGCGCACTCCGGTTCGACCGAGGGATCTCGGTAAAACAGTCCAGCATCCGATCGCCTAACGTTGTGCATTATATCTCGAGGCAGAGAGGAGAGCTGCTTCGAACGAGTATTTCTCGTCGGTACAACGTTTCTTAGAAACTTTCCCACAATACCGGGAAGTTCATTCATATTTCCGCCGAAGACGCGTACACCGAATTTAACCGGCTATTCGCGGAAACACCTGCGAAAAAAAATACGCAAAATCACGGCTAGACCTACCGCCAGACATAGACACGCGCGCATAGAAAAACGCGACGTATACCGTCAACGGTCATTCACCGCGCTCGAACGTAAACACGCGCGACGTACGAAACATTGTATCGCATACACCGACGACAAATATTTCTGCATCTCTGTTAATAACCTTTGCATTTGTATCACGCGTATATTTTTAAATAATATTCGTGCGACTCAGCGCAGCCACGAACGCGATCGGCTAACGCGACCACGCGTGCAATTATAATTCAAACTTCGCGCAGCAAAACTTTCAACACGCATCGCGCCTCGTACTCATCTTGCAGCCCGCACATCTCAAATATACACTGTGAATCTCACACATCATACCCACACACACACACACACACACACACACACACACACACACACACACACTGTAATCTATTATAATAAAGTCTTTTTTTTGTACACGTACACGCTCTCGTTATCAGTAAACCCAACGAACGAATCCTGATCCCGATTCCTGTTATCCGACGATTCACACGGAATTCGCCCGTGACATACTTGTATCCTTTATAGTTTTAATAGGATTATTAACTTTGTTGTCGCGCGCGCGCTTATGCGCATTTGTTATATTTAATATATTAAAATAAAATATAGTAAAAGGCCATAAAGAGCCAACGCAGTTGTAAGGCGTGATTTTTGGAGAAAAAAGTAATCCATGAAAACGATCACATAAGACGATCTTTCTTCTTTATTGACAAACGTTTCGGACTCATTTCGAACCTTCTTCAGTGAATCTGATAAGATAAAAAAGAATCAAATAAAATAACAATCAAAACGTTCAATCAAACAGTTCTTAATAGAAAAGAGAGGAAAAAAAATAGTCATCGTACATGTATAGTCTTAGAGAGCGAACGTGGACCCGTCAAGGCAAGTCAACCCGAAGGAAGCCAGATGCAAGCAGTCCTTTGAGCGTTGCAAGGCGTAAAGAGCAATGCACTAACAAAATAAATGCACAAGATATAGATGTAAAGCCTTGCAATAATTATAATTAGACAAAGGCAACTCACTCCCACTCGAGAAGACGAAACAGAAACGGACACGAACACTCAGCGCGCACATGGTCGACTAGACAAAAAGATTCGAATGCTAACGATAAAATGACGTCAAAATGTGATCGACAAAAACAATCCAAGTATACACTGAGGACAAGAACAGTCCTAACAAACAACAAACGATTAAATTTTAGATTATATTTTCAATTATCGATAAACATGAAGTATTCAATTTTGACGTATCGCTGTGGAGATTCAATGCATTTCTTTGACGCTTAATATAGATCATCTCCGATATCAATCTCTTTCCCAAAAAAGTTTCCTCATCCAAAACTTCAATGTCGTCAAAATTAAACGTATGATTTAACGCTCTGTGCTCGGCAATGACGGACGTAAGATTCCTTTTATGTTCCTTAATCCTCGTCCTTAATTAAGCGTCCCGCTTGTCCCACGTAAGAAGCGTCGCAATCTATGCAATTGATCTAATATACTATGTTGCTGCGCGAGTCTTTCTCCAAATTATCTTTGCTGACTTTAATAAAACGGCGCAAATTATTTATTCCAGTGTAAGAAATTTTGACATCTAGATTTCTGACGCAATTCCGAAAACGCTCAGATAGTTAGTTCTTAACATACGGAACATTGAAATATGAGATCCTCACCCTTTCATTAACATTGTCAAATACATTCGACTTTACAGTCAAAGCGTCATTAAGTCTATTGTTAAATCTAGGTAATAAAATATTAAGTCAGTCAGCAATTGTATGGAAAATAAAAGAGAGAGAATACCCATTGTTCAACAGGATGTTGATAACAAATTCAAAATTCTCTTTATGAAATTTTGGATGAGAAAGCCAGAAAACTTTATCAGTTAGACAAATCACGCCTTACAACTGCGTTGGCTCTTTATGGCCTTTTACTATATTTTATTTTAATTTGTTAATTTCGAGAGCCTTTTATTTTGTTTAATTTTATTTTACGAGGGTAGTTCGAAAAGTTCTCGGCCTAATATAGAGATGTTGCTAAGAATATCAAATGGCTATGATTTTTCTCAAGTTTAATCCCTCAGAGGGCGTACCGCACAGTTTCAGACAGATTCGTTCGCTAGTTTGTTTACTGTGCTCGAGTAAAACAGACAAGATTTGATACTTCTCCAAAAATGGATAAAATTGAATATCGCGCAGTCATAAAATATTTCGTTTTAAAAGGATTAACGGCAACAGAAATAAAAAACGAGCTGGATTCCACTTTGGGAGACTCTTCTCCATCATTTTCAACAGTGAAGAAATGGGCTGCTGAATTTAAACGTGGCCGTTCATCCATCTTTGACGATGAACGTTCGGGTCGCCCGAAAACCGCCACGAATGAGGAAATCATTCAAAAAATCCACGATAGCGTGTTAAATGATCGACGAGTAAAAGTGCGTGAGCTTTCTAACATTGCAAACATCTCAATAGATCGTGTTCACAATATCTTACATGAACATTTGCATATGAGAAAGCTCTCAGCGCGATGGGTGCCGCATTTGTTAACGGTCGATCAGAAACGCATTCGAACGAACATTTCTCAAGAGTGCTTGGACTTGTTTAAACGCAATTCAACCGAATTTCTGCGACGATTTATCACTGTCGATGAAACATGGATTCACCATTACACGCCAGAGACGAAACAACAATCAAAACAATGGGTGGAAGCGGGTGGAAGTGCTCCAAAGAAGGCAAAAACAGTTCCACCAGCCGGAAAAGTCATGGCGACTGTTTTTTGGGATTCGCAAGGTGTGGTGTTCATAGATTATCTAGAAAAAGGCAAAACCATCAATGGGGAATATTATGCAGCATTGCTGGAGCAATTGAACGATGCTATTAAAACCAAACGTCCTCATTTGGCAAAGAAAAAAGTGCTTTTCCATCACGACAATGCACCCGCTCACACGTCTTCAATTGCAGTTGCAAAGCTCCATGAATTGCGTTTCGAATTGTTACCACACGCACCGTACTCGCCAGATTTAGCTCCCAGTGACTTCTTTTTGTTTCCGAATATGAAAAAATGGCTTGCTGGAAAAAAATTCACGTCAAATGCGGAGGTCATCGCTGAGACGGATGCTTATTTTGGAGGCTTAAGCAAATCGTATTATACTGAGGGTATAAAAAAATTAGAACATCGTTGGTCTAAATGTATTGAGTTGAAAGGGGACTATGTTGAAAAATAAAAAAGATTTTTGCTGGAAATCATGTGTTTTCTTTGCCAGGCCGAGAACTTTTCGAACTACCCTCGTATTATTGCGCTGGCTGCAAATATGCGTTTTTCAACCTTTTTTCAATTTATCAGTTTCTACTTTGGTTTTAAGACCGTATCTTACTTAAAGAAATGGATTTGGATTAGTAAACATCTATCCAGATTAAGTTTACGCATTGTTTTCTTAAAAAAATGTATTAGTCACAATTTAGTACCTCAGCATTTAAATTTTTGTAAGCGTTATCATAATGACCTACACCATTCTGTATCGCGCAGACGGCATGTTAATCTAAGATCCAGATTCATTAGAGATGTATTGAAGAACGAAATTAGTGACGCATATAGACACATTCGAGCATTGCGCCGTGAATTGTTTGTTTCGGTTCGTTCCATATCTAATAACTTACCAATATCTGTCTGTAATAATTTTTTTGTTAAACAAAATAGATCTCAGCGAGCTTTTTATCTCCGCGAAAGTATAAAATTGGATAAGAAGTTTAATTGGCTGTTAAAGAAGCAATTTAAAGAAATGCGGAGAGATATTCGTCCTATTCGTTATTTCTGTACGGTTCCGAATTTTTAATCTACGGATTTGACGCCTCATGTTGGTCAATCTTTATCTGAATCCACCAGTGTGAATTTTTCCTTCAACCCTCGACCTTCTTCCTCGCCTATTTGTATCGACCTTGAGCCCTCATCTTTCTCACCACGTGTCTCTCCTTTCTTAGAATTAAGAAGCGAATGGTTTGTCAATTTGTCTTCTTCGACCATACCAGAGGAAGTACAACTCCTGTTACAATTGGGAGAGAAATTTGTTTACCAGCTATTGACAAGGAAAGAACTATTGTCGACTTATTAAAAAATGTAGAATATAATATCAACAAGCTACCCACAGAGGTTCGCACGACGGTAAGAAATAGATCTTTTCCTATAATAAATAGCTTTCATAATTCTATTCCACTTAAGTCTCCTTTTGATAAATTTATCCTGAAGTCCTTCAACGCTGCCAAAAAATTCACAAGGGATAATCCAGATATTTTGTTCACTAGAGCTGATAAAGACAATATAACAGTCGCGTTATATAGATAGGGACGATTATTTCTCTAACATGTTGACTTTGTTAGAGGGATGTTATAGGGACGATTATCTCTCTAACATGTTGACTTTGTTAGCTGATAAAAACACATATAGGGTAGTAAAGAAGAGCCCGATCAATAAATTAATTAGCAACCTGCATGATCTCTTAGCGAGGTGGAGAGCACAAGATTACATCTCCATTACGAAATATAGATCTTTGAATTGTACAGATGGTGTTTTACCGAGGGCTTATGGGCTGCCGAAAATTCACAAGAAAAATAATCCGTTGCGTATAATAGTCTCATCTAAGAACACACCGCTCTATGGTCTCGCCAAGTTTTTACATGATATCATTTATAAATCTATTCCACGACCAGACAGTCAAATTATTAATAGTACTCAAGTAGTGGAACGTATCGATGACAACGTAAAACTGATCTCATTGGACGTCATCTCATTATTCACGAATATACCGTTAGACTTGGCGATTGACAGTCTGTCGAATAGATGGGACTATATAGGAAAGAATTGTCAGATACCTCGTGATGAATTTTTAACCGCAGTTCGCCTCGTTTTGAATTCTACATTTTTTATGTTCAACGGTGTTTGCTATCAACAAACGTTTGGCACGCCCATGGGCTCTCCTATTTCACCGATTATCGCTGAGATCACGCTCCAAGATTTGGAGTCGAGGGCCATCGCGATTTTACCTGTGGATCTCCCATTTTATTTTAGATATGTCGATGACGTTGTGTTGGCGGCTCCCTCCTCAATGCTCAGTACCATTCAGGACACTTTCAACTCGTTCCACACAAGGCTGCAGTTTACTATGGAGGAGGGTGCCGACAATCGTTTGAATTTCCATGACGTCACTATCATTTTAGAAGATGGACTGATTCGTTTTAACTGGTTTCACAAATCGACTTTCTCTGGGAGATACCTCCATTTTGAATCGCGACACCCCCTTTGCCAGAAGAGGAGTACGATAATTGGTCTAACTGATAAAGTTTTCTGGCTTTCTCATCCAAAATTTCATAAAGAGTTTTGAATTTGTTATCAACATACTGTTGAACAATGGGTATCCTCTCTCTTTTATTTTCCATACAATTGCTGACCGACTTAATATTTTATTACCTAGATTTAACAATAGACTTAATGACGCTTTGACTGTAAATTCGAATGTATTTGACGATGTTAATGAAAGAGTGAGGATCTCATATTTCAATGTTCCGTATGTTAAGAACATATCTGAGCGTTTTTCGGCATTGCGTCAGAGATCTAGATGTCAAAATTTCTTATACTGGAATAAATAATTTGCGCCGTTTTATTAAAGTCGGCAAAGATAATTTGGAGAAAGACTCACGCAGCAACATAGTATATAAGATCAATTGCATAGATTGCGACGCTTCTTACGTGGGACAAGCGGGACGCTTAATTAAGGACGAGGATTAAGGAACATAAAAGGAATCTTACGTCCGTCATTGCCGAGCACAGAGCGTTAGATCATACGTTTAATTTTGACGACATTGAAGTTTTGGATGAGGAAACTTTTTTGGGAAAGAGATTGATATCGGAGATGATCTATATTAAGCGTCAAAGAAATGCATTGAATCTCCACAGCGATACGTCAAAATTGAATACTTCATGTTTATCGATAATCGAAAACATATCTAAAATTTAATCGTTTGTTGTTTGTTAGGACTGTTCTTGTCCTCAGTGTATACTTGGATTGTTTTTGTCGATCACATTTTGACGTCATTTTATCGTTAGCATTCGAATCTTTTTGTCTAGTCGACCATGTGCGCGCTGAGTGTTCGTGTCCGTTTCTGTTTCGTATTCTCGAGTGGGAGTGAGTTGCCTTTGTCTAATTATAATTATTGCAAGGCTTTACATCTATATCTTGTGCATTTATTTTGTTAGTGCATTGCTCTGTGCGCCTTGCAACGCTCAAAGGACTGCTTGCATATGGCTTCCTTCGGGTTGACTTGCCTTGACGGATCCAAGTTCGCTCTCTAAGACTATACATGTACGATGACTAATTTTTTTCCTCTCTTTTCTATTAAGAAAATTATTTTCTGCGTTTTGATTGTTATTTTATTTGATTCTTTTTTATCTTATCAGATTCACTGAAGAAGGCTCGAAATGAGTTCGAAACGTTTGTCAATAAAGAAGAAAGATCGTCTAATGTGATCGTTTTGGATGGATTACTTTTTTCTCCACGCCTTACAACTGCATTGGCTCTTTATGGCCTTTTACTATATTTTATTTTAATTTGTTAATTTCGAGAGCCTTTTATTTTGTTTAATTTTATTATATTTAATATACATTGATATTTATACAAATCGTCTCGAGTATATTTTTTATGACTGGGAAATTTTTTAAAAATCAAATCGTAGATACTTTCGGTTCCCTTATATTTTATTCCATCGATAATTATATTATCTTCCTTGTCCACATCGAAACATTTATCACCGAGCATCATTCCTTCGTTGGTAAATTTAACACCGTAAACATAATCTATGCTCTTATTTTTATCAACACTCATAATATATCCTATATATTTTTGCGCCGGTGGACCTAAATGCTCTCGGAATGTTTTCTGACCTTCGGACGTTTCTAATTCGTGTCGGATCGATGTTACAAACAAATCGGGCGTGGTCTCGTAAATTTCTTCGACGGACGTGGATGGTATTGTTTGACGCGGTTGTACTTTTATCGGAGTAGAAACTAACCATATTAGAAAATTGCTTCCTTCGCTTTGATCGATTCGGTGTCGAATATATCGGTGAATCGTTTATCGGCATATTTATTCGTGCTCGCTTTATTCCTTGCTTTGACTCTTATTTTTTCCTCGTGCTTCTCTCCAAACGTCAAACTCAACGGTTCGATTTTCGACGCATCAGATTCCACAGTATTTTCGACAAGCTGTTTTAAAGGTTCGGTAATCCGCTTAAATTGTCTTTCCAATATGATTTCTTCCTCCATTTTACCAGTTTTCAAAGCGCGATATTTTTTGCGAATCGATTCGCTCGTTTTTGCAATCTCTGTCAATATTTTTTCACGATCACCGTTCATGATGCTCGATCGATGTGTCGATGACGACTGATCGCTTTACGGTATCGCGAAATCATTAAATCCTCTTCTATATCGTCCATTGATCAACGTATTATCTTTATCAATGACTACGAAGCCATATTTGCGTTGCAAACATTTCTGACACAATGCACGGAAATCATCGTAAGACATATCGGTATTCACGTGATCGTTGGACACGTGTTTCAAGTTTGTGCCGTCTTGCTTAAACAGGATCAGCAGGTTCACGTTGTCGCGTATAAGATGCCTAGGTATCTTGGCGTACGTCTGACAAAGATAGAAACAGTCAACGCTCGAATGTCGACCCATTGCAAAGTACTCTCTTATCGTATTTTGCTTGTCGCACGCCACGTCATCAAAGATAAAGATGGAATTCGGAAGCGCCTCGCTCGGTGGAATGACATCGCTGTTATTAAAGAATGTAAAATAACCAATTTCATCTATAGGAGTTAGTAAATTTTCCAACTATTTGTATTTCGGCTGTTGAAGCGATTTCGAATATACGTACACCGTGCGGACTTTCTATCAAACTAATCAACACGTTTGTCTTACCACAGTTTGAAGGGCCGCAAACGATACCGCGTATAGTAGTCGGCAACATGTTTCCATGCTTGCATACTTTTTTCTCCGATATTAGTCTATCGTCGAAATTTAATACTTTGATAACTCGCGCTTGTCGCACGAACCGCATGTTTTCTCTTTCGAATCAATTTTGCGAATGATCACGAGGGGAAGATCTATTTATAGAAGTGTCTCGACTCAAAACCGCTTAGTATCAAAAATGTTTCTCCTTCTGTCGGATGAGAGAGACATTCTCCGGCTTACCACCGAACAACTGCAGTATATCCCAAAGATTTTTTTACTGCAAAATTTCGGTGATTACGTGGAACGATTGTGGGACAAGCTTCTAGAATATACAGGGTGGGGCATTTATCTTGAGACAAGATAATATCTCGATTGGAGTCGATTATTTTGAAAAAAGTTTTAGACAAAAGTTGTATGGTTTCAAGGGGGACATAAGATGGTGTTATTAGTTTGATCTTGAAGAGCCACCTGAAGGACACGCGAAGGTCAGCTCCAACTTTTTAAATGGGACACGCTATATGCTTTTGCATATTCTTGTAGCTCATCTCAAGAGCTTTCCAAAACACTATAATTAAGTTAGTTTTCATTAAGTACTTTCCAAGTTATGAGGCTTGAAATCATTTTTTAATTTTACATAAACCGTAAAATATCTTGTAAAATATTCATTTTTCGATTATTTTACCTTAATACTTTTATGTACAAAATAATGAGAGGAATCAATTGGTATAAAGAAAAGACATAGTTATTTTTAAGAAAAAATATGTAATTGTTAATTGCAAATTACATTTTCTTTTTCGAAACAACTATGAGTTTTCTTTACACTAATTGATTTTTCTCATTATTTTGTACATAAAAGTATTAAGGTAAAATAATCGAAAAATGAATATTTTACAAGATATTTTATGGTTTATGTAAAATTAAAAAATGATTTCAAGCCTCATAACTTGGAAAGTATTTAATGAAAACTAACTTACCATACAACTTTTGTCTAAAACTTTTTTCAAAATAATCGACTCCAATCGAGATATTATCTTGTCTCAAGATAAATGCCCCACCCTGTATATATATTTAACTCTTTATTTCTATTTCTTCTTTACTCTCTTTCATTTTCTTTCATTTTCCCATTTCTTGCATTATTATTATTATTTTTTTTCTTGCTTCCTCTTTATATTATTTTTCTTTGTATTATCACTACTTTGGGAGAGATCGTTGAAATAGATGAATAATTTTCGAACTTAGACTTGGCGAATTTTTTATCTTAATTTTATTATTGTATTTTAATTTGGACTTGTGTTTCGGCGAATTTAGAAAATTTTAACTTTAACTATAACACATATGCGAAAATACATACACACAGATACCCACCCACTCATAGCTGCAACTGCGAAGATGTATTTTTCTTTTTTATTTTTTTATAATATATGTATTTTTAATTTAATGTATAATTTAATTATTCCCATCCCGCGTAACAAGGATTAAATTCCTTTATCGAAAGGGACCACCGAAAGAATAGGCTTAAAAACGCAGCGTTAAAGAAACCTTCGGTTGCTGAGTCAGCAATGCTGACCTATGTCAGACCCTTTACATTCGTTCGACCCGATCCATACACACGCCCGAATAAAGTGTGTCAAGGGGTAAGTTACGTTCTTCCATACGATCTATCCATTTCAGGGTCTGGATGTAACAAAAAGTATTGTACTATTCTCTTAGCAATGAAGATTCTCCTTGGTGGGGAGTATATCGGTTAGAATAAGAAAAATTTAAACCTAAACTTTTAAAATTTCTCTTTAGCCCTGAGGATTCACAATTTATCAAAGCCTATTTAAATCTAATAAAAAATGATAGTACAACATCGATTACGTTTTTAAAAGATTTTTCCGATAAAGATTATATTAATTATTTTCTGTTTACTATCGCGAAGCATGCAAGGAATCCTGTAGTACTCAATTTCATATTACACAATATTGCGAATATAAAACTTAAGTAATACAGTTTTTTTTTCTTTGTAAATATACAGGGTGACCCATTTTAACTTAGGCAGCCAAATAACTCGAAAACCAAACCCAGGAGAGAAAAATGTTTCATACAAAAGTTGTTTGGTTTCGAGGGGGCCATAAGATGGTACCATTGGTTTGACCTTGAAGAGTCATTTGAAGGTCACGTGAAGGTCACCTCAATTTTTTTAAATGGCACCCCCTATTTTTTATTAGATATTTTTGTAGCTGACCTCGAGAGCTTTCCAAAACACTATAATAAAATATTTTTTCATAGAGTACTTTTCGAGTTATGAGGCTGGAAATCATTTCTTAATTTTACATAAACCATAATATATCTAGTAAAATATTCATTTCTCGATTATCTTGCCTTAAT